AAAGGGAGAAAGACGTGGGGTTGGAAGACATACACACACGCACGCACACTTATTACAACATTACTCCCTCGCGAAGGAGGGTCCGAATGAATAAGAGCTAAGCTAATCTAAGCTAAGCTAGTCTAATTATGCTAATTAAACTAATTATTACAAATCAAATGAATAACTAGTTAAGCTAATTACTAATTATTACAACACTTTAACTAACTAGAAAACTAATTAATTAATTTACAACACAAACTAAGCACGAACTAAGCATGTAAGACATTAATCTATGTTGCCATTACTCTGCCTCAGGAAATGGAAGATGCACATGCTCGGTTTTCACCTCAAAAAAACCTCTGTCTTGCTGTCGAAAGCCTTTGTTTGCAGGGTTGAGCATTTCCAGAACCTTTTTGCTCCATCTTACCAAATCTTTGCTAAGATTTACACCAGTGGCCTGTCGGCCATGGATGGATACTGTCAGCCATCTGCCGGTGAAAAAGGTGTACTGCTAGCCAGAAATGATGCACTGCTGGCCATTGATGCATTGGCCCACCATGCTGCAACAAAGCACAAACAGAGCAAAAAGGGGATTTTTCCAAGGATTTGTTTGTACAGGGTCCCTCCTTATCATCTCAAAATCTCAAAGGAGTAACACATTTGGATCCAAAACCACAAATCAAGCAACTTCATTGCATGATGGCCAAAGATCCAAGTTGTACAACTTTGATAAAAGCACAAACATGACCAACAAGACCACCACCCTATCATGCATAATCAGGGGCAATGGAGACCGAGGAAAGTGGCACATTTCATCACTATTGAGTATGAAATGTCCCATTTTCCTTGTGTTGAAATTAACGTCCGATTTGAACACATGCAATGCAACACAAAGACATGCTTATCTTGTCACTTTTGCTTGTCAACTTTTGTTAGACTTATTTATTTTGATGATTTATTTATTTATGTTTTAATTTGTTTAGAAGAGAAAAATAGAATCAAAATTTATTTTGATGATTTATTTGAAAGAGAAAAATAGAATCAACATTTATTTTGATGATTTTATGTTTTAATAAAATCAAAATTTATTTTGTCCCATTATTTCTCACTTAAACCTTTATCTTAAATGTTGTTAAAATGTATTTAATATTTGATTAAATCAGGAGTTCAAGCAGCCCAAAACAAAGGTTCAAACAGCCCAGCACAGCAGCAGGCCAAAAGGTTCAAAAGGTTCAAGTGGAAGATATTCAAATTTCTAATGATGGAGTACACCGGCTAGAAACGTCTATAAATTCAAATGGCTACAACGGCTATAAACGGCTATAATTTTCATTATATATACCAAAGCCTTTAATGTAAACAAGTTGCAAAAAAAATTGAAAATATTCTTTGATCTATAATCACTCACATCGGTGACCTCTGATTTGCCAAGAGAATGGAAGTTTGTTCATAATCGCCCTAAGGATTTAATCCTAGGTGACCCTACAAAAGGTATTGAAACTCGCTCTTCACTTAGAAACATTTGTAGTAACTTGGCTTTTCTCTCACAGATTAAGCCTAAAAACTTTTAAGAAGCCGAATTCGATGAACATTGGATGATAGCTATGCATGAAGAGCTTAACCAATTTGAGAGAAACAAAGTGTGGGAATTTGTGCCAAAACCTAAAGATCATACCATTATCGATAGCAAATGGATCTTTCA